TTTTTGGGATTTCCCCCATTGAAGATCAGACCCAATACCGAACTGAAGGTAATCATTCATCTTTATATTATTTAATGTTCTTGTATCCTCATGTTGGTGCCTGTATAATGATTAAAATAGTAAGTTCATGGCCGACCTTGTTGATTGGAATCTCCATGTTTGCATACGTTTCAGAAAGTATGGTCTGTGTTTGCTGCTGCCCTTCAAATTCCTAGCTAGGGTTTTGATCAAGAATGATCTTTTTGAGTTTGCCAATTCCTGTTGGGTGAATTTTTTTGAGTGGTTCTTAGACTTCCTCCCTGTTCAAAACCATGACTACATTCAGGGCATTGGTTGACTCCAAATTCCTTGATGTTAACAAGTGTTTGGATACAATTATCCACGATACCCATTTACTTTTTTGAAGAACCATCTTGGCCATAAGTTTTGAAAGAGAGAGGAAGAGAGAGAAAGACCACTTGGAATTTAGAAATAGAATTGGAATTTATCCTTGCCACTCGTTTTTGAACGATGGGCGGCGAGAAGTATAGAGGCATGTGTGTGGCTGTGTGTGGTGGCGTATGTGTTTATAGGGTGTGTGTTGATGCATGAGACAAGCAGGCCATGGATTGGTGGATGGTTATGGTTATATGTTAGGTATAGATTGTTTTTAAATTGTGGGTTTTGGTTATTTCTTGCACTTAAAACATCCATCTGTGGAAGAGATCTGGTTGTTGGAAATAAAATAAGGATTTAGTGCAAAGTTGATTGAGTTTGTTGATATTTTTTGGGTGTGCCAAACAGGTTTTTGTTGAAGAATATTATAGAGATTTGTTGTGGTGTGATCCTTGCTTTCTTTAGGAGATTCTATGTGGGTATTATATTTTTGGTGAGAAAAAACAAATTCGACCTTAAATCTACTTGGTCTAGATATGTCTTTAAAATTTTAAATTTATAATTTTCACTATATAAATCATCCTTTGTTGGATCTGGTACGAGATGATAAAGAGAGGGGATTCATCTATCGATGAACAACGGATTGACGGAACTCTTGACGTTGCTTTGTTTGTATCGCATAATCAAATCTTGTTTCATAAGATCTTAGATCAGATATACGTCCTTGCATTTATGTGACCATTAGTGCTATGGGTTTTTAGTTATGTAGATCCAAAATGGACATCCACGAAATTGCATCAATGTGCATCTTTTTCACGGGTTTAAACAAAGTGTTATCCTTGTAGCTTATTTTTATTATTTATTGAAATACATAAGAAAAAAAACAAAAAATAAAGAGGAAAATTTCGAATTTGATCCAAAATTGATGAGTTAGTGTGAGCTTATCCACGTGGTTATACACTCTTAAAATAATCCATTTTCTGAAAGATTCTAGATTTCGTGCTTTGGTGGGTCTCTGAGATCTTTTCGATGACTATGTTGTGTTGAAAGGACATCTATATGATTCGATTGATTGCCTGAAGCAACAAAATTAGGGAAAGTATATAAAAAAAAAAGACAGTTATCTATTATATTAGTATTAGATTAGTGATGGCAACTTTATTGTTGTCGGGTATTAAATTTCCTAACATTTATTTGAAAATCTTAGACTATAAAAAATGTTAAATCATAAAATAATTTCAATTATACTCCGAAAATTTTAATTTCAACTTTTAAAATATAAAATTTATTATCTATATATATATATAATTTATTTATTAAGTTGGAAAAAAAAAACGAGTAGGAAAAGACAAAGTGGTTAGTAATATATAATATTAATTTGGATGGGACCAACAGACCGTAAGCTTAGTTATGGGTCAAACTATAATATAAATTAAAATATGAATATAAATATTGGATTTCGCTCATTAATATTAATTTATTAACTTCTGACATAATCACCGCTAATCATTTTCATCCAAATTAATTATGCCTCAAGATTCACCACACAACCATTTAGGATAAAGACAAATTTTTATTTATTTATTTATTTTTATCATCTAGTTCTTTACCCATAAATATTTTTTTTAAATTTTAAACATTTTTTAATGCGTTTATTATAATATAAAAAAATGAAAAAAATAAAATAATTATCAGACAAGACAAGAAGGTTACACGTTCATATCTTGCTAATTTAGCTAAAAACTTTATATTATAAGATTCATATCTTGCTAATTTAGCTAAAAACTTTATATTATAAGATTCGCACATGCATAATATTATAAATTATGCAAATGAAATGAAGAAAATGAGTTTGAATTTCTACACATATTTAGTAATTAAATCAACTAACCAATTATATCCCCTAGTTGTTGGATTCATTTGTGTGGCTGTTATTTATTTATTTATTATTATTTGCTTTGTACCCAAATATGGAAATTGCCTCTATCCTCAATTTCAATTATTTTATCCATTTTTATCTTATGTTATTGGAATTATTATAGTTGCAAGTAAATAATAATAATAATAATAATAATAATAATTTTTATTAAAAAAAAAAAATTTAAAAGAATAATGTCAATCATTGTCCCCTTGTGGGTTATCATAAGAACTTTTATTTTCTTTTCCTAACCACATGTTTAGATCCAATGCTTTTAACTATTTCAACTAATTCTATGCCATTTGGCCTTCAATTTATTGTTAATCCTATTTTTAGTTATACAAATTATGTAATTTAATAAAGTAAAATGGGTTTTGATTTTCTTTAAGTGGGTCGGAACTTTCACTTTAGTGTTTCATTGAGCCGAATTTAAGACGTGTTCGTCCTTAATATTCTTGACCCATTTTGTAACAGTTCAAGCTCAACACTAGTAGATATTGTCCACTTTAAACTTTTTCTTTTGAGCTTCTCGTCAAGGTTTTACCTATTTTGTAAGAGTTTAAGCTCACCATTAATAGATATTGTCCACGTGTGATACCACTTATCACAATCGCACTTTGATGATAGCGAACTTGCGATTGTGCGGCACTCACTTCTCAGCAACAAGTGAGTTAAGCCTATTCGTTCTTGCGTCGCTTACGGCCAAGCGATGTATGCCCGAACCTTTGGTCTGAGTTCAAGAAGAAAGTTTTAAAAACGGGGTAGAGAGATTTCGAAAGAGAGTTTTGAAAGCAGGATTTGAGAAATTGAAATTGGTGTGATATGGGAATGTAAGCAAAAGGCAACAACAATAGCTTACTGCATATAACTATCGAGTAGAGAGAGCTTCTCCTCAAGATTTTAAAATACTTCCTCTTCCTCAACTGAAGTAGGATCTCACATATTTATTCGACATCTTTTAAAATTCACAAGCCTTCACGAGCCTGTTCTGTTAAACGTGTGACTCCCACACCTTTAAATGCAAAGCGTCCAACCCGTTTGCGATTTGTTGTCAACTAGGTGGCCTAGGAAAAGGTATATTTTATTTCCTTGGTCTCATTTTGCTGATGGATCCCTCCATCTTAGTTAGATGGGAGGTTGTAGGGGTCCTCTATCTGGAGGGCATGTCCTGCACCTATCCAAGTTCATGCTATAATTCAATACTTGCTTTAAACTCACTAACATACTCAAATGCCCTTCCAACCCCACAAGCAAGACTCACCCATTATTGGACAGAGTAAAATGCAAGGCAATGCAGACACACAGATCATCTGACAACAACAAGTGGCTGAAAAAGAAGGATAAAAAGAGATAAAAAAAAAAAAAAAAAAAAAAAAA